TTTCACGAGCCGGGACGGCGAGCCGGGACAGCGAGTGAAAATATATGGCATTTTATCATGTTGAGGGAAAATATATACTTTATTTCATGAAAAACGAAAAAATAACCTTTTTATTTAATTTCAATATCAAAGAAAAATGGTTACGAACCCCCTTGCTTGCTACGCAACTGCAACTGTACAGCACGCAGTAATATAGTCTTATTTTGCACGCGATATTTAGCGCTACATTTTGACGTCACGTAAACAACTCTTTAAAAGTCTGTACAGTGTTAATGACTGATTTAAAGATATTGGTGTTCGGATTTATTTTCTTAGTTAGACCATTTTCTATCATTCTAGATAGTTTTAAAAACAAAATTAAACAAAAAAAAATTGTGAATTTTCAGATTTTTCAAACAAAATGGCAAATTATTAAGCCTGACATCATTAGGCTTCACTTCGAAGAACATCTTGCTGTATCATTGTTGTTGTTGTTCTTGCAGCAGCTTCCCTCACTTCCGGTTTAATCAGACAATATGTTTCAGTAGTTGAGTGAATGCTTAAATGCTATATAGCTTACAGTTGGAAAAATGACTGGATTTCTTGGCTTTCTAGAATAGCATTATTTTCTTTGGAAGATGTTAATTTTAGCATCTGTAGATAAAAAGCATGGTTGAGCATTACTTTTTTCATTTTTTTCTCAATGGACTGAGAAAGTATTGGTCGTTGATTTAATGATTTGGGGGTGAAACAGGCACACAAAATATTATTATGGTGAAGTTCTAGAGAAAATTGCGATATTTTTGTTACCATAGCAACCAATATTTTATATTTTGTTATCATATTATGACTGAATTGTTGTTTTGCATTATATGTATAGGGTGTTAGATATATGTTTTAGTAGTTGAGTGAATGCTAAAATGCTATATAGGTTACAGTTGGAAAAATGACTGAATTTCTGGGCTTTCTAGAATAGCATTATATTATTTGGAAGATGTTAATTTTAGCATCTCTAGATAAAAAGCAAGGTTGAGCATTACTTTTTTCATTTTCTCAATGGACTGAGGAAGTATTGGTCATTTATTTTATTGATTTTGGGATAAAACAGACACACAAAATACCATTATGGTAAAGCTTTAGAGAAAATTTCGATATTTTTGTTACCATGGCTACCAATATTTTATATTTTTATGATCATATTATGACTGAATTTTTGTCTTGCATTATATGTATAGGTTGCATTGCTAACATGTTAGATATATGTTTTAGTAGTTGAGTGAATGCTAAAGTGCTATATAGCTTACAGTTGGGAAAATGAATGAATTTCTGGGCATTCTAGAATGGCATTATTTACTTTCGAATCTGTTAATTTAAGCATTTGTAGGTAAAATCATAAGCTTTTACTGTTTTTTTTTAATTCCTTAATGGTTGCAAAAATGTTTATTATTATTTTCATTACTTTGGAATAAAATAATCATGTTACATGCAATAATGTTGTATTAAATGTTTTTTACAGTTTGTTTTTTTGTTGCCATGGCAACCCGTTTAGATTTCTTTTCATAATTCTTATATCAACTATTCACATACTTCATACTGGGATGAATTTTATTATTGTTTATTATTTTTTCATGCATTAGTATGGCATCTACTTGTGTAGATGTTTCAATAAATTTCAACTAAAAACTACATATTTCGTTGTTATGGTGATGTTAGGAAAATCACAATATTTCCTTGAATAACAGAAATTTTCAAAAAATATTGGTCTCCAACAATTAAGCAGATACTGTTCTACCTGAAACTGGTCAAAATTCATTTTCGCACAGATACCCCATTTGGGCCAAAAATTGCTGAGCTTGTCACATTTGTTAAAAATACAAGTGTTTTCAGCAAACTTTTGGTGAACAATGGTAAAAGTACAAGTGCTTCCCGCGAATATGTGAGAAACAAGATTTATGTTGCAAAATTTATAAGTCTTTTTGCGATTATTCTGCAAATACTCAGCGAATAAATGGTGTGACATTACAAGTGTGGTAAAAGTGTAAGTCTTTTTGGCGAGTATTTAGTGATTAGAATGTTTATTGCGAATACTATGCGATTACATTGGTGATATTTGCTAATAGATCGCAGAAACAGTAAAATAGCAGCGATTATGCCGTGATTACTTCATGTGAATACCAGTATTCACTGATTATTCGCTAGATAAAAGCGACATATTAGCAAGAGTCCATAAGGGCAGTCATATCATTTAAAAAAATAAGTTTTGGCAATTTGAAAACCAGACATAGAGAAAATAAGAATTCCTAAAAAAAGTCCAACACAACATAATTGAAAATGTTGCAGGCTCGGTTTGATTGAGCCTGTTCATGGACGGTACTGTCAGGTTCAAACTACCGTCGACGCCCCGTAGCACCGGCTTAAGCAGAATTCAATATTTAAAGCAGCACACCTCCAGATCCCTGCTAATGTTCATGAAATTTTGAAAATGCACTTAAAAGTAAAATATTATTAAGCTGACAGAGAAAGTAATATGCAAATTTCAAACGGCACTTACAACCAATGTAAAGTACAATAAAGAGGTCAAAATATGCAAAATTAACCGTTACCGCGTAAGTAACGCAGTAGAAATATGGTGAAAATTACTGAAAAATTGGCCATCAATCGCAAATAACATGAAAATTATTACTTTTATCTTTAGTTTCTGTGTAGCTTGCAATGAAAATTTTACTGTCAAGCATTTTCTTCTGGAATGTCCTGATTTTTCACAGGCCTGTAATAGATTTTATAATGTAAATTCACTCAAAGAACTCTTTAATACAATTCCACAAAAAAAACATCATCGATTATTTGAAAGAGATAAACTTGTATTCAAGGATCTAATTGGCTCTTTTTCGTTGTCACTTGCAGAGTTTTACATAATATTTTAAGCCTATTATAGCATTCGGCACGATATGGCCATTTATGTGTTGACGTGCCGTAAAATACAAACAAACAAAAAATACATTTTTCTCAAGTGTTATTTTCTTGAAATATTTTAGCTCATCTGGAGGCATGCAGCTTTAAACATGAAATGGTAAAATTTTGAATTTAGAAACATCCGCAGATGTGTACGTACTGCGGTCATCATGGAACCTTCAACGTGACACTTCCGTGAAAAGCGGCGTATGGTCCCCAAGTAATAGAAAGCGTGTGCCCTAAATGAGAAAACTACGGACGGAACTAAATAAAATAAAATTGATATTTTGGACTGAGTGTTCTAGGTCATATTGATCGAGTTTAAATTTGAATAATTCATGGTGTTTCACAGAATGTATTGAATTCATAAATTTATTATAAAATTGTAAAAATTCAGAAAAATAATTAACCAGGACCACAGGAGCAAGACCACCGCCTGTCATGGTTGATATCAGTCAAACTGAGCCTGCAACATTTTCAATTTTGCCTTGTTCCACTTTCTTTATGGATTTCGTTTTTCTCTAATCTATTGTATACCATCTAATAAGCCACGTAGGTCGATCCTAAGAGGCTTGAGAAATGCTTCATTTTTCATAGCCTCTCTCAAAAGAAAAAAACTCCAAGTTAATCCAATTCATCAAATTTCATTTTTCTTTCTTTTTTGTTTGTTTGTTTGGATTTTTACGGCACGTCAACACATAACTGGCCATATCGTGCCGAATGCTATTAAAGGCTTAAATGTTATGTAAAACTTTGTTAATGACAATAGAAATGAACCAATTAGATCCTAGAATACAAGTTTATCTCTTTCAAATAATCAATTATGTTTTTTGATGGAATTGTATTAAAAAGTTCTTTGAGTGAATTTACAGAATAAAATCTATTACGGGCCTGTGAAAAATCATGACATTCAAGAAGAAAATGCTTGACAGTAAAATTTTCATTACAACCTTCACAGAAAGGGGCATTGTCATTTGTAAGGAGATAAGAGTGGGTAATTTTAGTGTGTCCAATTCGGCATCGAAGAAAAACTGTTTGATCACGGCGGTTCGACAGAGATAGAGATGGTGACACATCAAGAGATGGGTTTATATCGTGAAGTTTATTAAAAACGGCATTGTCCCAGTTTGCTTTCCATTCAGATGATACGAGTTTATTTATAGCCGGTCTAAAATCACAAGCAGGTAACAATAAGTCAGTTTTTTGAAAATTTAATGATTGTTTAGCTAAAGCATCTACTTTTTCATTTCCTCGTATTCCTACATGACTTGGAATCCAATATAATTTAACATATTTTGTTTTTAGTATATCATGAAATCGTAAAAGAAGTTTCTTTACCATGATATTGTCAGATCTTTTATTTTTAATGGATATTAAAACAGAAAGCGAGTCAGAAAATATCACAAATTTATCGTGGGTATGCTGTGCTATGTATGATAATGCTATATCGATAGCTTTTCATTTTGATTTTATTGTTTATAAAGGAATCTACCTTGTCCTTCCTTAGACAGAGCAATGAAGGTAGTATTAACTTGTATTTTGATATGTAGTTTCTATCGTATAGCAGCGAAATTGTAATTAAAATGCTTGCGGCAGTTTTTGGGGCATAATACCCTGCAAAAAAAACCTACATGCTTTACTTTCAAGTTTAATCCACATAAATATGCAGTACAGACAAACCTATTGATAAAGACCACATAGAGAAGATACCAAATATGATAAGTGGTCAACAGTTGTTGAAAGTGGTTTTTATTCACAACTTGGTCTTTATTCAGAGACTGTTTGTTTGCACAGGTTTGACTAACTTAAATCACATTTGTACGTAATCATTGAGTACATTCTTGTATCCAAATGGTTTATAAACAATAACAATGATTGTTTCAATTATATCATTATAATTTTAATCAAATTATATGAATTTCTAAAATGATGCTACGGGATATATTACATGGTTACACATATAGAGTGTTACGCTTAATGTAAAAACATTGCTAAACAAACATGTTAATGAATGTAATATAAATTTGAAATGTTAAGAAATAAATTTCTTTAAAAACATACAAAAAATAAAAAACAATCAAATAATTTGCAAAAGGTAATCGCGGATAATAATTTTCGCCGTCAATGAATGTGTCTTGTGACAACACATGGCTATTCACATAATTGTGTTGCAACTTCTAAAAATTAACTGGCTATTTTTACGAATATTCAAAAATTACATACTAATGACAATGCTAAGAATGTTTCCTGCGACAGTACAGTCTAAGAAAGATGCCTTCGCGATAGAGTACCCATGTTTATATAGTTACGTTTCAATGATTTTTATTAACATGCCAGCTTTCTTTAAAGGTCATAATTCACAATATAAATTACAATAAGACAAACAAGTGTTGTGAGTAATACTTCCAAAGGATCACACTTCTTCGAGATGTTAATTGTTCAACAATTGTGATAAAAATGTTAAAGGGTCATAGTTGATTTTGAAAAAAAGAGCATTTAATCACATATATAAAACAATAGAAAAAGCGATTCGTTGCATGGAAATATATATAATTACTTTGACTGATACAATAATATTAGACCGACAGTAATACATGGACAATGAATCCCATCAATATATATACATGAATCTTATATTCAACAATTTGCCTCCTTCATATTCAGATTAATCTAACTATTTTTCTTCCTCCCAAGCAGCACTTTCTCTAGTCCCATCATGGGCGATTCAAAAGCTAGAGATATCACAAACGCTGCCGCATACGATATACAGAGATGTCCCAGGAAAAGGTAAATCTGAAGAAAGAAAAAGAAAGCAACAAAATAAAAACACAGTTCCTTTGTTATGTAAATAAACAAATGTATGTGTACCATAAAATTATTTTCAACAATGTATTAGAAACAAACACACACTGCTATTAAAACTGTAACATTTCCTTAATGGAATTTATTTTTAATCCTAAAATGATACAAATAAGAAAATTCATTTTCTTAAAAAAACAAAAAAAAATATGTGTTCCTTACGTTTACATTTAAGGTATTAGCACCCTAATGCATTACCTCCGTTTTGAAGAGTATTCAAATAGGCTAGAACTACTGTTAACTACATTGAAAATGAGGGCCATGGGTTCAATCCCCAGAAGGGTCAACTTTTTTTTCTTTCTTTTTTTCTTTAACATTATTTATGTATCTCTCATGTCCCATTTGGAAAGAAAGAAGTGTTTAATTTTGATTTTTTAATTTAAATAGGTATTTATTGGCTAAATTATGCTAAATCTAGTAATAAATATGGTACCTGATATTTTCAAAGTGTAATATAATCAAAACTAGACGGTAAAAGTATTTCATATTTTACAAAGTCAACCAATATACTTTTTTAAAAATTTAGGGAAACTTTGAAAACAGGCACTCATTTGAGTAAATTTTAAGAATTTTTAAATTAGGCTCCCTAAGTAGAAAAATGGTCAGACACGTGGTAAAAATGGGTGGGATAGGGTAACATTTTTATACAGATTTCATAAATTTTAAGTAGAAACCATAATTTTGCTTATGTGGATTGTTAGCTGAATGGTACTATTTGTTTCTTACCACAAATTAATGGGAAAACATTTTTCATTAGCATGTTATTGCAGATTATTTAAAGGTTCCTCATTTCTAAAAAAGATCCCTCATAACATCCCAGCTTGAGTTCAGAAAATTGGCCATAACTTGATTTCCGTACGGTAAACTTTGTTTAAATTTTGCATACAGGTGTACTTTAAGGTTTACATCTGACCTATGATGTCATTTTTTCAGTACCTGATAGTGCCCATTAGGGTCCTAATACCTTAAAGAAAGAATTTGAACTGTTATTAAAGAAAAAAAGAACGAAAACTAATCAGACACATTTGACTTTGATCAGGCTCGGCGTCGTTTATTTGTTGTGTTAGAATCGTGAAAAATATATCCAATGCAGTCAATGTGGGTTGTCCGGATAAGCAGCGTTATATCACTCAGGCTGCGCCTTCGTGATATAATTCGACGCATCCAATCTCTAAACAGTGATTTTATTTTGCCATTCAAATCACTGTTGGGATATATCATTTCTTAAACAGCCTACAACTTAAAACTCAACTTACTAGATTGAGGTCATACCAGTACATCATAGTTTTTCTACTGTAAAAGTAAAGGGACATCACAATTGGATGTACAAGGTATGCACAGTATGTGAGACGACTAAGTGGGATAATTCCTCGCCATGACAACAGGCTGTTGACAGGTCCTAAAATTATATACAATGTGATTAGTAAATACTCTAGAAAGCATTTTTGTACATACCATACAATATGCTCATATGGGAAACAATCACACTATTAGTTTTATTATAATAAAGTTGCTAACAAGATCTAACTGGTATAATTGAAAGGCAATGCAAAAATGAATATAACGGCTTTAAGAAGAATCCTTATTTTATAGTTTATAAATTAATCTCGCAAGCACAATTATTTTATAATAATGCAATATGTCTGTGTGTATTGTATGAACAACATCATGAATTTGATATTCATTAAAGCTAGGCACATCATTAACTCTAAATTAACGGTGTACGGGAGCACACTTGAAAATTCAAACTGTCGTTCACGCCCGCTTACTGCGGCTGGAGCATTATTCAGTATTTAATAGAAAACAGTAAAATAAATGATTTTTTATAAAAAAAAATCCACCGATGTTATATTACGGCCAAAACCATGAAACTATTAATGTGAAACGTAAGTGCTATTCCAGGAAATCGACGTATAGTCCCCTCAGTTAAATAACTCGTGTGCCCTGAACGAGCAAAAGTGGGTTACACTGGATAAAAAGGTATCTAGGAATTAAACATACTCATGCAAAGTATTGATCAACCAAAATTAAAAAAGACGAACAAAAATTCTCATTATTTTGATAAGGAGGTAATGATTAATATAATGATTGATAAAAAATGTAATTCAAAATGAAAACTAGAAAAAAATACCCCCATATCCAGTAGCACATGCAAATATCACCCATGCAACACTTATTCCCCAGGCAGTTCTAGACGTAGCATTGTAGAGGGCAGATACGCCTTTAGAAAGGTCTGGTAGATTTCCCTCTGGTGTATACAGTCCATATAACACACTGACTGCCATAGCTGTTGCTATAGCCCATCCGACCAAGTTTAATAGCTGTAAGGAAGTGTAAGGGAATTATATACAACATGTTTTTCAAGAAATAAATGCGGTATGGCTGATCAATCTATAGAAACAAACGTCTTTAGTACGTGGTGTGATAAACCTGTTTTGTTTAAGACACACACTGTCTAGATTAAAAGTTTGTACACTTAAATGATGCCTTATCGGCGTTTCATGGTGTTGGAGAACTTCGTAACAAATAAATTAATAATTCTTCCACGATAATCTCATAATAGATTTTGTATGTTGTTATTCCTCGCCCAAGGCGATGGTGGTTATAGAAATTTTCCCTCCTTTGTCCCCACTTTTTTTCCGGACAAATTAACAAGAGCACCCTAGGGGGAGCAATTTTCCGAAATGATTTTTTTAGGAAAAAATGAAGCTTATTTTGTAAGTCATGGAATTAAAAAAAACTATTACATCCTTAAAATAACAATCCTCCTTTGAAGTTCAATATTGTGGGCTTCTATTTAATATGGACAATCAAAATATGAACTTAAAACAGAAAACCAAATGAAATTAACTTATGTTCCCAAAAAATGTTTTTATTTTTAAAGGGAAAAGTGACCTTGACTTTTGACCTATGACCCAAAATTAAAAGGGGTCTTCTACCCAAAATGGACAATATCCTAGAAATTTTAACCAGTGGTCAAATAGAACTTTCGTTTGTCTTCTACCCCAAATGGGCAAACATTTATGAAGTTTTAACACTTTGGGCCAAATGGAACTTAAAATTTTGCTCCAAAAAATGTTTTTTAGTTTTAAGGCCCTTTGTGACCTTGACCTTTACATTTGACCAAAAAACAATAGGGGTCTTTTCCTAATATGGACAATCATCCTTTGAAGTTTGAATATTGTTTGGGGCCAAATGGAACTTAATTATGCTCCCGAAAACCAAAGCTAACGGAAAGAGGTGCTGTTATCCCCGCCGAGCGATGGTGATATAGAAATGGTCTCCGTCCTTCGTCCGACATTTTTGTCCGGAGCAAATCTCAAAAAGCATTTGATGTATCAACTTGATAGATCATATTGAGTAGGAGTGCAATGCACAAGAATGATAACTCTACCTTGCATAATTTTTCAGTAATTGCCCTTTGTTATTTTTCAAACTTAATTTTTGTCCAGAGCATAACTCAAAAATGCCTTTTAGATATTAACATTGAACTTCATAGGCGGATAGATCTCACTCAGGAGGTCTGCAGTGCACAAGAGTGATAACTCTACCCTTCATAATTTTTGATTTATTGCCGTTTTTTTCATACCTAATTTTTCACCTGAGTCGAGCATAACACAAAAAGTCTTTGAGATGTCAACATGAAACTTCATAGGTGGATTCATCTTATTGAGGAGGAATGCTCTATGCGCAAGAATGATAACTTTACCCTTTATAATTTTTGAGTCATTGTCCTTTGTTATTTTTCATAAATTTGTCCGGAGCTTATCTCAAATTTATTTTGAGGTATCAACTTGAAACTTCATTGGTGAATAGATCATATTGAGGAGTGCAGTGCACAAGAATGATAATCTACCCTGCATTATTTTTCAGTCATTGCCTTTTGTTATTTTTCATGCTTAATTTTTGTCCAGAGTATTACTCAAAAAGCCTTTGAGATATCTACTCAAAACATAATAGGCGGATAGATCTCACTCAGGAGGTGTTCAGTGTACAAGAGTGATAACTCTACCCTTCATATTTTTTGAGTTATTGCCTTTATTTCTCATACTTAATTTTTCACCTTACTGGAGCATAACTCAAAAATTCTTTAAGGTGTCAACATAAAACTTCATAGTTGTATTTATCTAATTGAAGAGGAATGCTGTGAACAAGAATGATTACTCTACCCTTTATAATTTTTGAGTTATTGTCCTTTGTTATATTCATATTTTTTGTCTCAAAAAGTGTTATAGAGGTATCAACTTGAAACTTTAAAGGTGGATAAATCTCATTGAGGAGGAGTACAGCACACAAAAATAATAACCCACCCTGCATAATTCTTCGGTTGTTGCCCTTATTATTTTCAGCCATCAGTATTCAGTATAATATGTTTCAAACCATAAGTTTTCATTACCGAAAGGCCTATTAAAATTGTATCATCCTGCTCTGCTACATATACATCTTCCAATGAGAATACACATTCGGCGGGGGAAGGCCATGTTAACATGGCTCTTGTTTTGTTTTACGGCGCATTAACACAAATAAGGTCATATGGCGCAAAAAGGAGAGATGATTTTGGCTAATTTTGGGTGTTACAAACTTATAGCAACACCAGTTGTCAAAACCACTTTACCTGCTGGAGCTACGAAGTATAGACTAAAGTAATTCGAACCCATTTAGTCGCCTCTTACGATCACACAGGGATAAACAATGGCTGCAATTCTGATGCGTTACTCACTAAACGCACTCCCTCGGCCACAAGGGTTTGAAACTATTGAATAACAAGTTCAGCAAAAATAATTTTACTATTTGTTATTCCAAAACAAAGACCAAACCTTTGACATTTTCACTTTGCATTCTGTTTTGTACAAGATGTAACCCAGAAAGAAACCAACAATGTATGGTCCGACACGAGTCCATGGTTTATAATACATTTTGTCCATTGCCACTCCGACATCTTTACTGAAATAGAAATTGCTTTGCTTTGTTTAAAGGTATTTGATGTGTTTTCGAAAAGAACATAATGGGGTTATAATGTTTAGTGACTTTTGTTTTTGCCAATGCGGTAAAATATATTGAAAATAGCGGTATCATTGATTTTGTTTTTGTTTAGTTTATTTGGTGCCATAGTTTGATTCCAGACGCCTTTCATTGTTCACGGAGTGGTGGTATAATTTGTTTGAACTAGCATCTGTGTTAGGGTAGTAACATTTAAAATATTTAAAATGAGTAAACGATGCTCAATTTTAGACATATATGTTATTTAAATTTGATTCAATTTCTCTTTGTTGGTTTGATTTAACTCTGCAACTTTGTAGTTTTAATGGTGACGAAAGATCTCAAATGTACTTCTGTGAATTCTGTTAGTCAAGTACGGGCAACTGCGTAGAACAACCGACGTTCTGTAAGCTAATTTGATAGCTTCATCACTTGAAATATATCTAAAGCTCCTGGAGAGTTTGGATCACATAGTGGAAATGAACAAGTACAAATGTAGTTTAAAGTCTTCGACCATAACCACACGGCAACGGACGCCCTTAAGTTTTGGTATATTAAAACAAAATGTAACATGCTGAATAATCAAGTCACAAAATTATGGTAAACATAAAAGACACACACCAAAAACCAGAATGTAACAACATTCTTCGGTTACCGTTTATATAGTTATTATGAAAACAGATTTTCAAAAAGCTTTGGACTAAATTCTGTGTTTTTTAGATTACAGTAAGTTTAATTAATGTCAGCAAACCTGAACATCATATTTGCCGCAATGTCATAATGACTAGCTACCAATCCAGCACAGATGAATGTTCCGAGTAGGAGTGCAAAACAAACCACAGCTCCAGCAATCGGGGAACTAAACAAAGAAAATCGTGTAACTGTGTTGTTAAACTGGTACACTACAATAAATATTGCTTTAACTAACGCATTCATAGATAAAACATGTACAGTAATATTGGCGTTATTAATGAGTGAGACAAAATTTAATCATCACATTGTAGGTGAACATAATACTCAGAAAGGCAAAACATTAATAATGTATTTATCAAATGTTAAAAAGTGTTATCTATGTTTGCTTAACCAAAACTGTAAGTTTAAGTTTGCTTCCAAATTGAAAAATATAAATTGTGGCCACACTAAACATTATACATAATGAGCAAGTTCTATTTTGTTTCAATGTAGTTTTGTTGTTTTTTTTTCTGCCAAGCAGTTTCAATTTCCTTTCATCGGTTCAAAGGATATAGAATAGACACAAAATCGCTAAAGAACGGACATATAGAAGACCGTGTGTGTCATAATATAAAACGCCTTTTCTGATACATAATAAAGATTGCAATAAAACACCTTTTCGATTTGATTTGTTAGTTTGCTTTAAGGATTATACATTTAGTTAAGCTTCAATGAATTAAAAAAAAACCTCACTAAAACAGCGGAATCAACATCAGAGGGCTTATGACATAAAACTGCATGTCATTCGCTAGATACCAACTCCATCCCATACACTGAAACAGAGAGGATCATCGTGAGATACCGGTATCTGGAACTAAATAAGTTCAGTTAAAAAACTAGAATAGAGAAAAACAAAATCTCTAAAAAAAAAGCCCAACACGGCGAAATAATTGAAAATGTTGCAGGCTCAGTTTGATTGAGCATGTTCATGGACGGTAGAAAGTGCCATATACCGGCCATGCCCCCAGCAACTCCTTTTCTTAAAATAAATGACATCATATATTGTGGAAGAGCAACCCTTGCGCTATTTTCTATCTTTACTCGCGTAGAAGTGTAACTACACATTCAGATCACAAAAACAGACCCATTTCCAAGCTAGGTTGCTTATTTTATATAATTTATTTTAAAGACAAAGATTTGATATACCAGTATAGTAATTTAATCAAGAATAGCGCAAGGCTTCTTACCTGGTCCGATTTGTATAGATTGTTTATATACAACATATTTGTCCACCAGCTATCCTCGCATTCATTTACGTCAATGCCTTTTTGAGGCCATAAAGGCCCACTTGCCCAGTACTTAAATGTTGGTACATACAGCATCAACAGAAGCATATAAGGCGGTGTAAGTCTGGCAACAACAAAAGAAAAATCATTTACACAATATTAACAAAATGTCCATACAAATGTTAACTATAATCGAAATTCATCTACATGGTCGATTCATAAAGCATATCCAAAGTTAAGAGTATATTCATCAACGTCAATTCCTCGTTGTGACCGAGCAGGTCCATCTGACCATTATCCAGACGTTAGTAGGTACATCATCAAAAGTAATATAGATGGTGATGGCTGTTTGGCACGCCTACATCTGTTATACAGAAAATGATGCAAGTATTCAAAACGAGAAATGTTTTTTATATATATATTTTACTTACAGGAAAATTTATAAAAGAGATGGCTTTTAATGTAACGGGACTAGGAAATGCTTTTAAAATTATGTAACACTAATATTTACATGATCATTTGAAACTTGTATCGTATGTAATACTTGTGCTTAAGGGAAAAATAATCAACGGTTTAAATATCTTGAGGTATGTGAGAGACCTGCTAGACTTTTGTCAGGGTAATAACTAATGAAACTTACCTCCAGTATCTATGGAAGTAAAAGAGTAGCCAGTTAAACTTCAACGCCCCTCCTCTCTTTTTCAATTCCTTCAATGAAAGATATGATACCAACAGGCCACTGAAAAAATGTTTTTGCAATAAAGATATTTTAGCATCACATTGTGTTCAAGTATGTATTTAAATGGTGTACTATGCGTGTGCACATTTGATTATATATTTATAGATGTTTTCCTATTCATCTATCATTTTTATTATATATATTTAGTTTCCATTTATTTTCATGTAACTTAGTTTGTTTATTTTTTACTTTTTAACATTATCACTGAATGTGTGTTAGCATAATACTATTCAATATGTATTATATATATATAAACAGTAAGAAACAAACACACATATACCTTATACGACACAAAAAGAATACATATATATATATTCTTTTTGTGTCGTATAAGGTATATGAATGTTTGTTTCTTACTGTTTAACGACGATGAACTTGTGATGTTTAAGTCTAATAAATATATGTTCTGTCCTTTTCTTTACCATTGTATAGATATTGATCCGTAATTTCAATGCCTAATCATAGTTAAAGAAAATAACATATAACAAAAACGACTTTTAAAAAGACAAACAAAAGTAGTTTGGTAAAAAACTTTACGATCGTCTTTCAAAAGCGGCAAATGAGAATAATTTGATCATGATGCTTGCAAACGCTTGTGTTGTAATGATTTTTATTTGCGACTTCATTTTAAGCATTGGACATGGTGTTTAATATCTACCTGAGGACAAAGAATGTGTCTACAGAAAAAGTTGCGTTCATAATAGCTTGGAAGGTAAATCGCTTTGTCAGCGCTGGGAAATAAGTTGCAGCATTTCCTGTAAAAAAAGAAAACGGAGCTGAGGTTTCCGATAATGAAAAGTATCTTCAGTTTTTATTTATAGTCTGCAAAATTGTATAAAACATTGTTGACTTTAAGTTTTGACATGAATCAAATTATTAAAATAGCCACATAAGATTGTATTTTAAGCTTAACACAACGTGTTAATATTCTTGTTTGTCTTTTGTATAAAATTAAATATTAAAGCATAGGCCAATTGAATGGATTTAAAACGTGTTCAGTTAAGCATACTAATTTGAATTGAAGACAACTGATTTTTTCCAAGAAATTGAACAGAATGGCATTTATTGAACTTTCCCGCAAAGAACTTAAATGTGCATAAAATGTGTTAATTTTCACACCTGCCGTTGTGAACCCAATTCTGTATGTATGACCCAGGATGACCCAGGTCGTGCCGATAAAGCGAATTCCATTCACACATGTCAGCGTTCCTTTAGGTTGACTCGTGTTGAGGATTTTAGGAGCGTTTGTATACACAGAGAAAGAGAGTAGAAGCTTTCCAAGTATACCTGCAATACGAAAAATATATATTTTGTTAGTATGAATAGGTAAAATAAGCCTATCTGTAAATGTGTCTGTGTTTCCAACCACAGGTTCTGGGTTCAAGCTCTATTTAGGTTACGACAATATTACTTTCTGCGTCGAAAGTACCGGTTAGTTCAAAGGAAAAAGATAGATGCCAGGATTATGCATATAAGCTTTCATCGCTCATCATATTTCATCGATTTTAAATGATGTTTTAAGTAATACAAAAAAACTTTCTTGTTTAAAATATGAAATGAATTAGAGAATGAAGTGTTTTTAGCAGTTAATATAGTACCCGGTCAAAGACATTTCAATATATGTATGTTAAAGGACATTTTTAAAAGGCGTTTTCAGAGGATGAAATATTGCAGGATGCTTTCAATTTTGCAGGAAATTAGGAAAAAGTATAATACCCGGTTTATACGACGTTTTCTCAAAACTGATAGCATTAGGCATCGTCTTTTCAATGTCCTTGAAGTCCTTTGTAACATTTCCGTTTTTCAAACTGTCACCGTTTGATATTTTCTCCTCAGTGATAGTGAAAGCATTGTTTTGTATACCATTAGCATATGTAAGATCGCATTTGTCCTTGAAGAGAAAATGAGATGATAATGTAACCACGTTTGCTGCACATAGTGAGCACTGTTGCTTACAAATACATTCAATGGAATATTTTCTAAATAGTTATTAGGCTATGGATGATGTCCAATTGTTGTTTTGACCGTTTATTCATAATATTGATATTAATATGTGCCTTATGAATAAGAAGGATTGTAAAGATATTGGTCAAAATTGATGATATTTTAACGGTATGTTTTGCAGTAGGCAGTAGGATGACTAAACGTATACTGTTACCACATATCTCTTATTTAGAAGTTGTTATTACATCACTGTTTGTTATGCTGAATTTGTTGAAAGAGTTTGAAAACATCTAGTATGCGGCATACTTTTAATTAAGAAATATTACTGCTTGACTGTGTTAAAGATTTTACGAAGAGAATGCAACTTAATGTAATTGTTCAAATTAACTTAAATTTACTAGGCTCATTTTTGAGTAAACTATTTTTATTGCAGGAATATATTGATATCTATGAAATTGTAATCTAATTTGGATAAAAGAATGTAAAATCTATGTCTTGGAAGCTGCATTCTCTATAACGTGTCAAGGAAAGTTGGTCCTTTCTAAACGTTTAATGACACAACAGTATATTCCTATTGGGTGCACCTATAGTGTGTAAAGTTTAAAACATAGCAATTTTACTTTGGATGAAGTCAAAACATGTTTGTTTCATATTATCAAAGAGACTGTGAGGCAAAGAGACTGTGTGTCAATTATCAATATTTTAAAATATCAAACTTGAGAACAGTATATCTTTAACAACAACGCAACGTGGGTATTTAGAATAAACACACTATCTAGTAAAAAATCTGTTACATTAAACTGATATTCCTTTCCGAGTTAATGATTTGTGAAAAAAATCTGGAACAAAAGAAGATAACTCGGAGGAAATGAACACAGCAAAATAACAGGAAAATTACAGACTCTGAACAATTACCTTTTCGTATAATTTTGGTTGTTTTTGAAGAAAATGTTGAATGATGACGTCATATGCTGTAGCTAAGATAATTATAGCGGCGAAAATTGCACCGACGATGCTGAAATGGTATAAATTATATGTGTAGACAGTAAAATAACATATTATTGTTAATTTTCTTATTATCATGTTCATTTTATTGACTTTTTATTTCGAACCATTTATTTATTATCACAAAATCAAAAACATATATGTAACGCATTATACTATTATAAAGCGTTCCGGGCACGTGTAATCTTATGAACAAACAATGATAAGAGTAACAAGTTTATTTCCCAATTGAATTAATTATTTTTTTCTTGTATAATATGTAATATTCGGACTTAAAAATTGATAATTGTAAAGCTATGTTCTTTATCATAAATACATGTATACGAACTGCAAGCGTAAAAAACACTATTCAAATTCACGAAGGTTTTTCAAATGTCAAGATAAACTTAGACTAAACAAATGCTCAAAATAGCAAATTTATTATTTGCATTTAATGTTTTCCAGTACACCAACAGTAGTTTCAGTCTTGAGTGGGTCGGTCTAAAATGGGCACATTTTCCAGAATTATTTCAAATATTGATAAAAATAATATAAATGTATCATTTTGTTATTCTATAAAGTTTAAATTTTTGTATGAACATTTATAAAATGAAAATTATTGATATCATTCGAAACATATTTATATTCATGTGGGACACGGGAGATAGAAATTACTCATGTGACGATCAGGATGATATTGAAAACAAATGTGAAGAAATGTAACGTTATTCAGGTTTAACCGGAACACTCACAATTTACTTTTGTATGGGCATAAAGTCACTTTAAGTTATAAACATATCAAGACACATGCTTTCTGTTACATGAAGGTAAACAGAAATTATTGAGATAACGTTCACATACCTGACTGCAAGGGCTTTATCTGTAAACTCGATAGATTTTTCTTGACAGGTCGCATAAATAGTTGGCAATGACATGTTTTTGAATAGTTTTAAAGCCACTGTTAATCAAAGAGATACAAACAATAACATTACTACAAATAAAAACAGATTAAATATGAACAATGTAAATTTAACATGTTAGTGAATTTCATACTATTAGAGTTAATGTTTATACTTGAAACTTAGGTAGGATTAAATAAACTTTCTGAAATAACATTTGAAACTTTGTTAAACGATAAAGATATTTAATCAATGACCACTTTTCGCTCCTATTACATTATCGAAATCTAAATAAACGTAAACAAAATAAAAAATGATACCCGTTAATCAATACATTTTTGCTTTCTTACGCAACACACAGAATGATTGGCAGGCAACAGTTTATTAGAATCAGCACAATACTCATTGCAATAAATAAGAACGTTAAAAGACACATTCCCTGTGCACGTGTTAAAACGTTATAATTATATTGTTTCTGTTATTTACAAACCGTATTATTTATTGGAATTCAAAGTTTAAAAACCATCAGACCTATATTCATAAGTGTAGATCCGTCGGCGTCTGAACACGAATCCGGTAAACACATGCCAATTGAAGCTTCCAGCGGACCCGTCACGCCAGAAGACTGAAGTATAAAAATTTTCAAATTGCTTCAATTAAATAAATATGTTAAAATGAGTAAAATGCGCATGCACAAAATAATTGTCAAACGATAAAACCCTACTTAAAATAGCACCATTATATTTTGATCAGGAACATCTTTTTCCTGTTTCTTACAATATTTTCGTGTGTGAAATAATATGTTGATTGTTTTTAAAACTGTGTTGGTTTTTTAAGTAGGATATCTGCGTCGCACAAACTTGTGCGAAATGGTAAAATGAACATGAACGAACCTCTTTTGACAACTGCACATGTCCAGTACAATACTTCCCGGTGTATGGGTGATCTAATCCTTGCTTGTTTGCTGGATCAATGTACCTGTCGGCTTGTATGGCGATACATTCATCAAAATTTCCCACAAACTGTAGACTGTAGTCCATTAACCCAGGACCAGGTTTGCCAAAGGCATCAATCACTGAAACAACAAGAGCCATGTCAACATGGCCATCCCCCGCCGAATGTGCTTGCTCATTGGAAGAATGTATATGTAGTAAAGCAGAATAATTCAATTTTAAGAGGTCTTTCGGTAATGAAAATTGATGGCTGAAGTGATTACAGATTTGAAACCTACCGGTATGTGAATACCGATGGCTGAAAATAACAAAGGGCAATAACTGAAACATAATGCAGAGTAGGTTATCATTCTTGTGTGCTACACCCCTCCTCAGTAAAATATATATTCACCTATGAAGTTTCAAGTTGATACCTCAAAAACTTTTTGAGATAAGCTCCGGACAAAATAGTATTAAAAAGAACAAAGGGCAATAACTCAAAAATTATATAGGGAAGAGTTATCATTCTTGCGCACAGCCTTCCTCCTTAATAAGATCTATCCACCTATGACATTTCATGTTGACATCTCAGACACTTTTGAGTTATGCTCCACTCAGGTGAAAAATTAAGTATGAAAAATAACAAAGGGCAATAACTCAAAAATTATGAAAGGTAGAGTTATTATTCTTGTGCACTGCACACCTCCTGAGTGAGATCTATGCACCTATGAAGTTTCATGTTGATATCTCAAAGACTTTTTGAGTTATGCTCTGGACAAAAATTAATTCTGAAAAATAACAAAGGGCAATTACTCAAAAATTATGCATGGTAGAGTTATCATTCTTGTGCACTGCACTCTTCCTTAATGAGGTCTATCCACCTATGAAGTTTCAAGTTGATACCTCAAATACTTTTTGACAAAAATGTCCGACGGAAGGACGGACGGACGGAGACTATTTCTATATCGTGGGATAATAAAAATATCTAATAATGTTGAACTTCTTCATTCATCTTAAACATACATCTAAAATTTGAAAGTAATTTAAGTATTATAAATTCAAACTATTTACAGAGTAGTTCTACGCGTCTATGAATTCTTTCACATACAAAGATGCAAATATATTAGGACAGGAAAGGTTTTGCCAATAATGTCAAGGCTCTGACCACGAATCATTCATAAACGAAATGCTTACTCTGATTTAAGAATTGATAGATATGCTTTAATCAACAAAAAATTAGTTTTAAAAAATCACATCGATTTTATCTATTCAGCCAATTTGACTTTTGTGAATGCATCAACAATAACACATCTAAACTAACATCTAAAACATTTGTCCATGTTTTTAGTATACTTAAATAAAACAAAAACACATTCAGAGATTTATAAAAAGAGTTGTACAACTATTAAACACTTTAACCGTCTAGGCTTTAGCATTTGAATTTAGGTAGTAATAAAATTTTGCTTGTGTAGAGTTTCTGACTTGCAATAAATATAATCTATGTCCATTTTTTTGATATTTTGAATATGTTTAAACACAACCATACATTTTCTTTGCATAACTTGGCTAAGAACCCTAGTTCTCTCGTACTCTTATTTATGCTTTAATCATAGTTATGCGAATCGTTTGAAAACTGTAATTGAATATAAGCTGCATGCCTCAAGATGAGCCAAAATATTTCAAGAAAATAAAAATTGAGACAAAAGTACTGATATTTAAGAAAAGTTAAAAGATTTAGAATAAAAGATAAAATTTCCTCGTTATGTGCGATTTATGGTCGATTTCGCAGTATTTTTCAACATATTTCTACTGCGTTACTAACTCAGTTAGGCTTATATTTGCATATTTTTTACCTCTTTTTGGCAATTTTACATTTATTGTTAGTGCTGTTTGACATTTGAAAATTATTTCTTTGTTAGCTTGACAATATTTAACTTTTAATACATTTTCAAAATTTTCATAAAAAATAGCATGCATCTGGAAGTGTGCTGCTTTAGAAGAAAATTTACATATTAATAATAAATTCAATAACAAATACAAAAAGAGACATGGAAAATTTAATACATACTTCTGAGTGCCCAGTTCTCTCGGCGGAACAATGCCTTGATAAACAGTTCTGTATGGTTAAGACAGAGAGCACTTGTATAGTTTCTCGACGCCTCATCCAAACTCTCAGTTAATGTATCCGAGGCATAATTTATTATCAAATCTTGGTTTTGCTGTAAAAGAGGTCCAATAAATGATAAAAGATTTGCACCAGGAAATCCACCTTGCTGCATAGTTCCAACATTTATTAAGCCGTCTTGTAAAATTTTCAAGTAGCCTCCATCCATGTCTTGAGCAAAACCGACTTGCATCAAGGCTAAAATATTAAACCATTTTGCGGCATGCATTTCGTTTTTTCCACAATTGTTAAGTGAACATTTAAATTGACTCAATGAAAGTAGTGCCGATGTCGCTTTAGAATCACTGGCGAATTTGTAACGGGATTTGGTTTAAGTAGTAGTGGGTCACCTGTACATTATCAGTGGGGCTTGTCGAGGGCTGATGAGTAACTCAAATACCTCATAGTAAAATATAGTCTCAACAATGTCGTGAATGTTACACAACATACATCAAAAACATTTTTTTTCTGATTAAATTTCAGTAATATTACTTTTAAATTGCGGAGTTATTATTAACAATCTTAAAACAAGCTGAGTAATAATGAATAAACTTCAATTAATATAACAAAATGCGATAAGCAAAGATTGCACAATTAATTTACATATATCGTTTTTTTAACCAGTCCACGTATACGTTTCGGAAACCCATTCCAACGTTTCTATGCATGCCATGTGTTTATAAACTGTAGTTAAACAAACGACATGCGGTATATTCAGTATATTTATGTTGAATAACGGTATGCCTTTTTGCGTGATGTCGTAAAATTTGTACTATAGGTCATTTTCAAGCTCAAGTTGTTTTTTCTATGTGAGAGCTTTGATTTTGAAATATTTTTTTAAATTTTTAAAATCAGAAAGGAATTTATGTTTTATCACATACCTGTGCCGATTTTGCGACTCCGTAGAAAATGGTATTGCGCGGCGGTGCATATATTTTGACTTGACGTCATTTGCGCTACATAAACATGGCGTTAAGACGCGCTTAATATTAGCGTTATTCTATAGGCGACTCAATGAAAAATGTTTTTTATCATTTCAAACGATCTTAATTTTTGGTATGTGATAAATAGAATATAAAATTCGTGTTAGTTCATTACTTCGATTATTAAACTCGTTGAATAAAACAATGTCACGCTTGCCAGAGGCTCGCATAATATAATTTTATTCAACTGGTTCAATAAATTCAGTATTAAACTTACATTCATTCAATATCCTCTATTTAATATATTTCTCAACTTACATTGTACATGAGCTGATTATTAAACTTAATGAGACCTTAATGATGTGTGGCTTTAAAATAAAATGTTATGCAAAATAAAATATACTTTTAGTTCATATAATGTTACATTGAAGCACAGCATGACGCAGTTTAAGACACAACTACTTTAACTTTTCAACAGCTTTCAAGTCTCTAAATTAAGTCTATGAACGCAGATGTATAAACAAATGTAGACGCACCCAGCAGTCACTGGAAAATAGATGGAACTACCAATCGCACTGCCAGACTGGTGTCCGGAGATATTAAAAATGGTCTCCGACCGTGCGTCCTTGAATCCGTCGCAATATTGTCCGGAGCATAACTCTAAAATAACATGAGCGGTTTTTCTTTAAACACCCTACACTGACAGAGCACAATGGGAGAAAGTACAGTATCCAACAAAAATAACTCTACTGTACCTAATTGCAGAGTTATTCCCCTTTATCAGATTTACTGACAAACTTTGTCCAAAGCAAAACTTCAAACGTACTTGAGGGAATTTCTTCAAACTTAATACACTGACATTGCACATTAGTAGAAGGTACAGTCTGTAAGAAAAACAACCTCTACCTTGTTTACTGTCAGAATTATTCCCCTTTACCAGATTTATTTTAAAAGTTTTGTCAAGAGCATAGCTTCAAAAGTACTTGAGTGATTTTCTTCAAGCTTAATATCCTTACATAAATAAAACCAAAGTAAATCAATCGCATAAACGTTACTAAAGTAGCTAACCTTCTCTTCATTGCCTTAATTTTTCCACTTACTTAACAACTGTACATAGCATTTTAAGAAATAATCTCTCACCAAGTAAAATGTACGAAAGTAAAACCTTTATGCAACTTCTACCCAGCGAGGGAATTAACCATGTGTAACATGTGTAATAATAAAAACAGAGGAAAATAACAGGAACTAAAGTGTTTATGCTAATAAGATAGGATAATTGGATCAAAAACCAACACAAATTAAGTATCAAAACATGTTTCGCTTTATTAAGCTTCCTCAGTTGATACATATATAAATGCTAATAAGAGAAACTTAACAACCTTTTATCTTTTTTACAGAAATCTGGAGCCATTTTACAATTTTAGCAGCTGCATTGTCGAGAATTTAGAACTAGTTTTGAAAGTAAGGCTGATGAGAATAAAAGTCAGGGCATTGAACACTTTCCGTCATTCCATTTGATCCTTTTTGTAAAGACTACGGTTTTGTTTAATATTTTTATACGACATTTGTCAAACACGCACGCAAGATTGAACAAACAACAAACACA